TGCTTACAGCTCCCAAAGCTCCAGTGGGTGTGTGTTACAGTGGGCTGTTACAGTGGGCTCTCCCAGTTTTGCTGTCTGCAGGTGGCTTATGTTAATCAGCTCAATTAGACCCTCTGCCTTATGGCAAGGACAGAGGGCTTTCTGTATCCCAGATTCTTGCCGTAGTATACCAGAAAAATCAGATGACAAGTGGGTTTGGAGGATGGGTGCAAAGTTTTATTGAGTGGTGGAGGTAGCCCTCAGTGAGGTGGATGGGGAACAAAAGGTGAGGTGGAGTGGGAAGGTGGCCTTTCCCTGGAGTCCAGCCCCAAATGAATTCTGCATCGTCCCACCTTGATGGCCTGCCTGTGTCTGCTGGTGTCTGTCAGTGTGCTCTTCTGCTCCTTTTGATGTTCAGCCACTTGTGTGTGTCATGCCCGCTAAGGTCTCTCAGGTTTATATGGGCACAGGATGGGGGCATGGCAGGCCAGAGTGGTCTTGGAAAATACAACATTTGGGAGCAAAACAGTAGTGCCTGTTCTCACATAGGTTCACAGGCAAAGGCCTGAGGGTGAAACCCTTGCCAGGGACACCACCCTTCTCTACCCAACATTTCTCTGTCCCCCACCGCCCACCATATCAACCTCAGACTGAGAAAGCAGCAAAGATCTGAATGCTTTAACTACACCTTGAACAAACTGCAGCTGCCCTAAGGAGAAGAGGCTAGTCTGTCTCCCCCATGAGCCCTCCATCCCCCCTGCTCATCACCAGGCAGTGCCCCCCAAGCTTGGGCCCATAATACAGCCACCTCACACCAGGCTGACTGCACTGTCAGCAGCTCTGCATTTCTCTAGGGTAGAGCCCCAAGAGACAAGTGAAAGGTCCTCAGTCACAGTCACTGACCTTGGCAAGTTTCCTTCCCCTGTTGTCTCCAAGCAAGGTAAGGAACATAAAGCCTGAGCTTGCCCCAGGGCTGTGGTGTGCAGCCTGGGAGTACCAAGAAATGACATGTAGCCAGCACTCAAGTGGGAGAGGAGCCCACTTTCAGAACACTAAGAGACTACAGTTGAGAAGAAATAGAGGTGCCACATTGCTGAGCAAAGCTTGCCTACTGCTCATTATGCTTAAGTGGCATCTACTGGATCACAACCCAAAAATATTTTTCAACATCAAAATCATTTTGCTAATATATCTACCTCCCTGTGAAACCAAGGACAAGAACTCAGCTACAAATAAATGTCCTGCATAAAGTCTCAGTCCTCTGAAAACATCCAGAAAGGAAGTCAACTGACTATACTCAAATTACACCACAGTTGATGGAAAGTCAGCCCACACAGACCCAGCACAACAACTCTGGCAACTCAAAAATCCAGAGTGTCTCCTTTCGCACAAAAAATCACACTAGTTCCCCAGCAAGAATTCTTAACCAGACTGAAATAGCAGAAATAGAATTCAGAATCTACATAGAAATGAAGATCATGAAGATTCAGGAGAAAGTGGAAACCCAATACAAGGAATCTAAGGATTATAATAAAATGATACAAGAACTGATAGATGAAATGGCCATTATAAGAAATACTCAGCCGGGTGTGGTGACTCATGCCTGTAATCCCAGCACTTTGGGAGGCCAAGGCAGATGGATCATGAGGTCATGAGATTGACCATCCTGGCCAAGATGGTGAAAGCCCATCTACTAAAAATACAAAAATTAGCCAGGCATGGTGCTGTGCACCTGTAGTCCCAGCTCCTCAGGAAGCTGAGGCAGGAGAATCGCTAGAACCAGAGAGGCGGAGGTTGCAGTGAACCAAGATTGTGCCACTGCACTTCAACCTGGGCAACAGGGAGAGACTCCGTCTCAAAAAAAAAAAAAAAAAAAGACTCAAACTGATCTGATAGAGTGGAAAACACACTACAAGAATTTCATAATGTAATTGTAAGTATCAACAAAATAATAGACCAAGTTCAGGAAAGAATCTGAGAGCTCAATGACTGGTTCTCTGAACTAACTTGGTCAGAGAAAAAAAATGAACAAAACACTAAAAAAATAAGGGATTATGTAAAAAGACCAAATCTATAATTCATTGGTGTCCCTGAAAGAGATAAGGAGAGAGCAAGCAACTTGGAAAATATATTTCAGAATATCATCCATGAAAACATCCCCAGCCTCACTAGAGAGGCCAAAATACAAATTCAGTACCAATGTGAGGTACTACACAAAAGACCATGGCCAACACACATAATCTTCAGATTCTCCAAGGCTAAAATAAAAGAGAAAAAGTGAAAGGCAGCTGGAGAGAAGAAGCAAGTCACCTACAAAGGAAACCCCATTAGGCTAACAGAGGACCTTTCAATAGAAACCTTACAAGCCAGAAGAAATTAGGGGTCTATATTCAGCCTTTTTAAAGAAAACAATTTCCAAGCAAGAATTTCATATCCAGCCAAACTGAGCTTCATAAGCCTCATAGAAATTAGATCCTTTCCAGATAAGCAAATGCTAAGGGAATTCATGACCACCAGACCTGCCTTACAAGAAGTCCTGAAAGGAGTACTAAATATGGAAAGCGAAGACTGTTACAAGCTACTACAAAAACACACTTAGGTATAAAAACTATTGATCCTATAAAGCAACCACATGAACAAGTCTGCACAATAGCCAGCTAGAAACATGATGAAAGGATCAAATCCACACATACCAATATTAAACTTGAATGTAAATGGGCTAAATTCTCCGATTAAAAGTCACGGAGTGGCAAGCTGTATAAAGAAGCAGGACTGAATGGTATGCTGTCTTCAAGAGGCCCATCTCACATGTAATGACACCCATAGGCTCAATGTAAAGGGATAAAGGAAAATCTAACAAGCAAATGGAAAACAGAAAAAAGCAGGGGTTGCTATTCTAATTTCAGACAAAGCATACTTTAAACCAACAAAGATCAAAAAAGACATGGAAGGACATTACATAATGGTAGAGGGTTCAATTCAACAAGAATACCTAACTTTCCTAAATATATATGCACCCAACACAGGAGCACTCAGATTCATAAAGCAAGTTCTCAGAGACCTACGAAGAGACTTAGATTCCCAACAATAATAGTGGGAGACTTCAACACCCTACTGACGGTTTTTAGATAGACCATCCAGTCAGAAAATTAACAAAGATTTCCAGGATCTAAACTTAACACTTGACCAAATGGAACTATTAGACGTCTACAAAATGCTCTACCCAAAAGGAACAGAATATACTGTCTTCTCATCTGCACATAGCACATGCTCTAAAATCAACCACACAATTGGACATAAAACAATCCTCAGAAAATCTAAAAAAAATGAAACCAGACCAACCACACTCTCAGGCCATAATGCAATGAAAATAAAAATAAATACTAAGAAAATCACTCAAAACCATACAATTGGATGGAAATTAAACAACCTGGTCCTAACCTTTGGGTAAACAGTGAAATTATGGCAGACATCAGGAAATTCTCTGAAACTACTGAGAACTAAGAAAACATACCAGAATCTCTAGGACACAGCTAAAGTAGTGCTAAGAGGAAAGTTTATAGTGCTAAAGGTCCACATCAAAAATTCATAAAATCTCAAATTAGCAACCAAACATTACACCTAGAGAAACTAGAGAAACAATACAAAACAAACCCAAAGCTAGCAAAAGACAAGAAATAACTAAAATCAGAGCTGAAATGAGGGAAACTAAGATGCAAAAAAAAACATACAAAAGATCAATGAGTATAAGAGTTGATTTTTTGACATAAGAAATATGATAGACCACTAGCTAAGCTAATAAAGAGAAGAAGAGAGAAGATCCATATAAACAATCATAAGCGCCAAAAAAGACATTACCACCAGCCCCACAGAAATATAAAAAACCCTCAGAGACTGCTATGAACACCTCTATGCACACAGACTAGAAAACCTAAAAGAAATGAATATATTCCTGGAAACATACAAACTCCCAAGATTGAGCTAGGGAGAAATTGAATCCCTGGACAGATCAATAAAGAGTTCCAAAATTAAATCAGTAATAAAAAGCCTACCAACCATAAAGGACCCAGGACAAGAATGATTCACAGCCAAATTCCACCAGATGCATAAAGAATAGCTTGTACCATTCTAACTGAAACTACTCTAAAAATTGAGGAGGAGGAACTCCTCTCTGACTCATCCTATGCGGCCAGCTTCATCCTGATACCAAAACCTGCAGAAATACAACAAAAAAATCTTCAGGCCAATATCCTTGATGAACACAGATGTAAAAATTCTCAACAAAATACTAGCAAACTGAATCCTGCAGCACATGAAAAAGTTAATCAATCACACTCAAGCAGGCTTTATCCTGGGATGCAAGGTTGGTTTAATAATCACAAATAAATAAATGTGATTTACTATATAAACAGAATTGAAAACAAAAACCACATGACTATCTCAATAGATGCAGAAAAGGCTTCTGGTACAATTCGATGTCCTTCATGTCAAAAACCCTCAACGAACTAGACATTGAAGGAACATATTTCAAAATAACAAGAGCCATCTATGACAAACCCATAGCCAACATCATACTGAATGGGCAAAAGCTGGAAGCATTCCCCTTGAAAACCAAAACAAGACAAGGATACCATCTCTCACCATTCCTAGTTAACATAGTACTGGAAGTCCTAGGCAGAGCAATCATGCAAGAGAAAGAAATAAAAAGCTTGTAAATATTAATAGGAAGAAAGGAAGTCAAACTATCTCTCTTTGAAGATAATATGATTCTATACATAGAAAATCCCATAATTTCAGCCCAAAAGTTCCTTAAGCTAATAAACATTGCATTAGTAGGTGACTGGATCTATATCAATTATGCATTTTCTACAAAAAAGAAACCACTATGAAAGTAAGCATAAACATTAAATTATTTCTAGCTGTTGAGATTATGAGGGAAAAAACCTGTCAAGTTAACAAAAACTTCCTCAGGAAATAATTTTGTTGTACATTAAGAAATTGTTTAATCCATAGGTTCTTACCGTTCTCGGTTAAATTTAAGAGAATGGAGAATGGCTGGCCTTTTTTGTCTAAGGTTCCACAAATGAAGTGTATCATCTGAACTTGCACTGACCAAGGCACCCTAGAACAAAAAAAAGATAAAATAAGTGTGTGATTTACTTAATTAAGGGTTTTTGTGAAGCACAAACAAGCTAATTTACTCAATTTTTTTACTACCTGAAGAGTTACTTGCGTCTATATAACCCAGAAATATCAGGAAGGATAGGTGCATAAACTTCAATCAGGAAGGGTAAGAATGCTGAAAGTAGAAGAGGCAACTGACCCACTGCATTTCGACGGTCAGAAAGACTAGCTTAAGGAATATTTATTTACCAATAGAGAGGATTAATTATTATAGCATCATTATGATCATTAAAGGTTTTTCTTCGGGAAAAAATAGTTTAGGGATGTTTTTGTTTCTACTATTTACACATATACTATATAGCCTTACAGAGAAGCAAATATTCAATGCAGTCTTACAAAATTGAATACAGGTCATATAAAAATTCTCCTGTGCAAGAATTTTCTGTATATTTGGAAAGTGTATATTCTTCCTAAAAAGTATATTTGGTATAATTTAATTTGCTTCTTACAGTCTAAGAAGCTTCATCAACAGTAAAGGAAAATATCCATAATAAAAGAAAACATTTCTCCAACTAGAATTTAGTATAACTATAAAATTATACTAAGATTCTTTTTATACAGCACCGCCAAATACAAATGAATCCTATTTCACATACAATAGGATATTTTCTACCTCTTAATGTGGCAGAAAGCATATGGACAGATAATAACTGTTTGTATGACTTTGCTTATATGCTTAAACTACTTATTTACTGGGTTAAATCAGATCATTTAAAAATGTTAGAACTTTTACCATAATGACAGTTGACCAGCTGAAAATGTCGATGCTTATCCATTAATGGATCCTAAATCCAGAGCATTAAATGTGTTCTCTAAGAGTGATCTTTCAGAACCTTGGTTGTCCTGAGATACCTGAAAGGCTTTTTATATTTTCCAAAGTGCTTTGTTAGAAGTAATCTCTCATAGTTTACAGTATCAATCACAGATATCCCAATTAGATGCTAGGAAGAACTATATTGAAATCGCTAGCATTTATTTCTTCTTTCTGAATTAGAAGAGAGAAGATAGGAATCTAAATGCCCTTCTGTAACAATTTCTAAGCCAAAAAAATGCTCATGTATCCTATGATGGGTCTCTTCATATTGGGTATGAGTGATTTTAGTCTCAGAGAGGAATGGCTTTATAAAAATAGAAACATAATCAAAGATCATATTCACAAAAATATTTAGAAATTTATATGATTTGCATATTTGTATCTAATTACCTATATACATGTTCAAAGATGTATATATTGATATATATATCTTAACATGAACTCAGATAATTTCCTGCCATGAAATAGGAGGTATTCTATATATGCTTTGAGAATTTTTGTGTTTGTTTGCCTGTTTTATTTGTATACTGTACATATGCTTCCTATAAACCAACTAGAAATCTATTAGGATTCCTTGAAAGCATTTGATGAGCTACAATTGATTTTTTTGAGATACAGTATACTGGTCTCATTTCCCAGAGAGGTGGAAGTTCACCTGAGATAGGGTGAGGATAGAACATGATATGTAACAACAATAAAACATGCTCTACAAGAGATAGTTACATGCTATACAGAAGATATAACATGCCAAAGGCAAAATGGAATTAAAGTAGCATATATTCAATAATATCTTAGTGTAATACCTAAATAATTCTAGTGAGGAACGCAGTAATTTTTTTTTTTTTTTTTTTTTTTTTGAGATGGAGTCTTGCTCTGTTGCCAGGCTGGAGTGCAGTGGTGCAATCTTAGCTCACTGCAACCTCTGCCTCCCAGGTTCAAGCAATTCTCCTGCCTCAGCATCCCGGGTACCTGGGACAACAGGCGTGTGCCATCATGCCCAGCTAATTTTTGTATTTTTAGTAGAGACAAGGTTTCACCATTTTGGCCCAGATGGTCTTGATCTCTTAACCTCGTAATCCACCTGCCTCAGTTTCCCAAAGTTCTAGGATTACAAGCGTCAGCCACTGCGCTCAGCCAGCATTCTTAATTCTGTGATAAAACTGAGATGTGACTTATCATTGGAGGGAAGTGAACGATACCACTAAGCCTAACAGCACCAACAGAGACAGATACGTGAAAGTAAGCACATCAGCAGAGTGTCCAGGTTCATTTATAAAAACAAAGTGAACCTACCAAAAGCACTATAAAGATCTGTAAAAATATTTAAAACTAAGAATAGAAAAACCAGTCAGGTCAGAAACTGGGAAGTTGGGAAAAGATACAGAAACTTTGTGTGAGGTACACAGGGCGAGTAGTTCAGGATAAATCATGTGAACAAGGCAAGGAGGTTGAAGGCTTGTCTTTATTTATTCTTAGTTATGTACCACAGGGGCAAACTTAGGACCTGGAAGACAAATCTCAAAGGATCAGATTCAATACAAATCACATGGAAACAAATTATGCCTGTAAGTGTATATCCATGCAGAAGGCAAACAGCTGAGATCCCTCAACAAGGAACTACAGGGTAGCACTGAGACCTCAAGAAGCCTGACATTCTAGATAATAATGAGCAGTTATTACAACGAAATATTTTTCAAATGTTTTCTTTACCTTCCTTTCTCATTTCAGTACCCCACAGCAAGTGTGCCTACATTTGAAATATGCTAGGTTTGTCAATAAAGAGGATCTCACAGTCTTCTGAGAAAGATTTTGAGCCAAGAGAAGTGAAAAGTGAGCATTTGCCAATATCTTTCTTGCCTCGGGTTATCTCTGATATGAAGTTCTATGAGACATTTTACCCACATTTACAATGTAAGTTCTTAGGAAGATATACAGATATAGATATATGCAAATATATGCAGACACTGAATGAAAGATCATTGTCATGCCGTGAAAGAATAACCAAACTTTTTTTTCCGAGGCACTGAATTCAATTTTCTAAGTGCCTGCATTTGGCATGGCACAAACTTTTAAAGCACTTTTGCATTGACTGGCTCACTTAATATAAAATAAGCTCTAGAAGACTCTAATTTCCACTATAAAAATCTGATTCAAGAAAGCCTCAAGTAGCCTTCTACTAATGTAATATCTGCAACCTCTCTGAGCTTCATAAATACATATTTTGTTTTCAGAGAGTTCCTTATCACCATAATTTTATAAAAATGTAGATAAAGTAGAGAGCTAATTCCCATAATAGCTATGGACACAAAATAAATACAAATGCATATCTATTCCAACAGATGCATTTGGAGATATATACAGATAAAAGGGCCAATATGTATATAAGCAAAAAGATCATTTCAGGGAAGATAAAGATAAAACATGAAGTTAGGCCTTGGTTAAAAAATTTAAGTTGGTGGGAAGTGAGTGGATAGAAAAAAAAATTAGTGGCCAGTGAAGCAATCAAAGGACATTAGGATTTTTTTAAAAGTTTAAATAATTAAACTAAATTATGCTATATAGTAACAATAACAGAATATGATATATACAATCTTTTTTCTTTAGAATTTAATAAATAACCCAATACAGGAGTACAGTCTTTTGTGAAAAATGTAATCAGAAGTAATATTGAGTGCATATATATTTAAGCATTTAAAATCACAGTATTTAAAAATTACATTAACTGATTCACTGTGTAGTGGGGGAGTGTGTGATTTAAGTAGTCAAAAAATAATCCTTACCTCATTGATCAAAAATTGGAGCTGTAGGACAGCTGCGCCACTTTCATGTTGGCAATAGCAATCAACACCAGGTCTCCCGAGTCTAATATAATAAAAGTCAAGGATTCTAACATTTAATTAGCACCAATATTAATGAGTAAAGAAAATAACTTATTTAGCATCAGATGTTTTGCTTTTTAGCTTCCCTTATTTTTATAAATAGTTGAAAAATCTTACTCTTAGTAGATGTAAATTAAATTGTATAGCTCATATGTTTAATACTCCAACAATTTGAAAAATAGAATGACAGTAAGGAATTTGAAAGACAGCAGCTTTTTCCATGAAGTTAAAAAAGAATTGGGAATCCAGATACACCTCATTTCATTTAAGATATTTTAATTGATTAAACACTTTTTTCACTAAAATAAATTCAAAATGAGTCAATAATTTGACATAATTAAGTCATAAGATGAGTTTAAAAAGACACAGGTAAATATGTTGATAATCTTGACATATAAAAAATCTTCTAAGCATAATTTAAAACCCAGAGATCATAAAGAAATTGATTGACATAGTTGACTAAATAAAAGTATAAAATATCTACATAGAAAAACATTACAAATAAGGTAAAAAAAACAAGAAAACTAGAAAATAAATAGTAACAAGTCATCTACACTATACTACATAACATATAGGGAAGAGATAGAGAGAAAAAAAGGAAGGAGGAGGAATGGAGGTTAAAAAAAGGAATGAGAAAACACCATATAACAAAATTTACTTACATATTCTATACCAGATGATCTGATACATATGTATATTTACTTATCATTTGTTTGCTTGCATAAAGATATAAATTAGATGAGAGTCTCCACTTATGGTCATAATGAGGAATGTGGGCCAGATCTACTCACTACCTAAAACAATTAAAAATCTTACCAAATTTATGTAACAAATTTTAAGACACTACACATCAGGTAGGAAATGACAATGATCCCCGAAAGAAAGAAAATACATAAGGCGAGGCTTATGATAGCCCCAGTTTACTGCCTAGAGAGAATTTCAAGACTCCAGCACAAAGAGGGGAACCCAGATAAAATCTAGCAGGCCTACTGAGTAAGGAGACAGAACTAACAGTCTAGGGAGGCCAGGGACAACTAGAGTTCATAGGATTGAGTAGCAAAGAAGAAAATGTGACACAAAAAGAGCTCTAGAGATTTGCAGAAGGGTCCTCCTCAAATCTTTAGCTAAGTACTAATGAAGGAATAAGTTTGAGGAAACTACCTGAGACTGAGGAAAGAACAAACCAAGAAGAAAAAGCATACTTCTTGAAAAAGAAATCAAGAAAACAAACCGAAATCAAAGTTTATATTGAGGCAAGAATTTTTCATGTTCCTACCAGCAAAAGTGCAAGCCCTCAGAATTCACATGCAAAGTACTCAGAGAATATTACCTCAGTATGAGGAAAAATTCCTCCCTAAGATAAAGACTGCTCTGATTCTGCTTACCAATACTTAAAACCAGGTTACAAAAGGATCAAACTATTCCACATAACTTAACTGCATACTAAACAAAGATCAAGGATAATTATACAAATACAAAAAACTTTAGCACTCAAAAAGGTAAAATTCAAGAGGTATGCCATTCAATGCAGAGAACTAAAAAATATAACTTGTAACAAGGAGAAATATCAATAGAAAGAGACCCAGAAATAAAACAGGATAGAAATAATAGACAGAGATAGTAAAACATTTATTATACTACACTGCATATGTTGAAGAAGGTAGAGAGGAGATTGAGCATGTTAAGTAGATACACAGAAGGTAGATCTATCTATCCATCCATCTACCTACCTAACTATCTCAAATAGAATATCTAGAGATTAAAAAAAAATACATTGAAGATTAGTGAACTTGAAAATAAGTCAAGAAAAACTATCCAAAATATAACACAGAGAAAAAAATAACTGAGGCATAGAGAAAGAACAGCACACCAATGAACTGTGGATCACTGTCAAATGGCCTAATAAGTTGTAATTTGAGTAATAAAAAAGAGAAAGAGGAGGGAGAGAAGAGATAAAATATTTTTTAAAATAATGACCAAAATTAAATTGTGTTCAAAAATGAAAGTGAAATAAAGACACTTTTCAGACACAAAAACCTGAAATAACTCATCCTGAAAAGACCTGCACTAAAAGGAATGTTAAAGAGGGTCTTCAGGCAAAAGGGAAATGATATCAAATAGTATCTGGATATACAAAAAGGAATAAAGAACATTTCAAATGATAAATATATGGGTAAATATAAAATATAAGTTATCTTTAAAAGATAATTTACTGTTTAAAGCAAAAATAATAATAGTACATTTGTGGTTTATAGCATATGTAGAAGTAAAATGATGTTAACAATATCACAAAAGCCAATAGTAGGAGAAACAGAAACTTTACTATTGTACCATTCATAAAGTAGTATAACATTAATTGAAGGTAAACTTTGATAAGGTACAGCTGTATACTATTAATATAAATCATAAGGCAATCACCAAGATTATTATAGCTAAATTAAATCAAATTAATTTATATTTGATTATATTATAGCTAAATTAAATCAATTAAACAAAATGAAATCATTAAAAAGTTTAACAAAAAATCAGGCAGAACATTGTTGGGGGGAACTAAGAACTAGCAAGATAAATAGAAAACAAAGAGCAAGATGGTAGGTTTATACCCAGCCATACCAATACCACACTAAACGCAAACAGGGTAAACACCCCATTTAAAACGCAGTGATTGTCAGAGAAGACAAAAATGCAAGACCTAAGTACGTGCTTTGAACACAAACCTCCTTTAAATATATACAAATAGGTTAAAAGTTAAAACATGGAAAATTATACACCATGCTAACATTAATCAAGATACAGGTGGAAAGATATATTAATATACAGTAAAGTTGATTTCAGAACACAGAACATTACCAGGGTTAGAGGTGGTCACTTCATAATAATAAGTGGGTCAAATTATTTTTAAAAAACATAAAAATCCTAAATTATACACCTAATTACAGAGCTTAAAATACATGATACAAAAATGATAGAACCACAAAGAGAAACAGATGAATTCACAATTATAGTTGGAGTTTTTAACACCTCTTTCTCGATAACTAACATAAGACAAAATCAGTAAAAATGAAGAAGACATAAATAAAAGACTATCAACCAACTTGGCCCAATTGACATTTATAAAACACACAACCCAAAAAGAGCAGAATACGTATATTTTTGAAGTATAAAAGAAACAATTACTAAGAGATAAAATATTTCGAACTATAAAACAAGCATAAAAACATTTGAAAGTATTGAAATCATAAAGAGTATAGTTTCTGACCATAATTGAATTAGAAATTAATAACATCCAGAAAACTCTCCAAATGTTTGAAAATTAAATTACAAACTACTAAATTAAACATTGATTAAAAAAACCATAAGAGTAATTAGATAATAATTTAACACACTAATAAAAATATAACATACCAAAGGTGTGAGATGCAGCCAAAGCGGCACTTTGAGAAAAATTTACAGCCTTTGCTACCTATATTAGCAAAGGAAAATATCTTGAATTATGTAAGCTTTCATCTTAAGAAGCTAGAAAAAGAAGAGCAAATTAATATCAAAACCAGAAAAAAAGGAGAACAATAATAAAGATGATCAGATAAATCAGTAAAATAGAAACAGATTAACAATTAAAAAAAGAGTGAAGCCAAAAGCTGGTTTGAAAAATTCAATGAAATTAATAAACCTTCAGCCAGAGTGATCAAGGTAAAAAGAAATAACACACATTTCCTTTATAAGGAAAGGAATATTACCAAAAAAACTTTAGAAATTAAAAAGACAACAAACAAATATTATTTACAAAATTATGCCAATAAATTTGACAATCTAAATGAAATGGACAAATTTCCAGAAAGACACAAATTACCCAAGGAGAAGCAGGAAATTTAACAGCACTATACAAATTAATGAAACTAAACAAATTAATTCTAATTAAAATTATTTCCTCAAAGAAAACTCCAGGTCAAGATACCATTACTTATAAAATAAAATCTATGATACATTTAGAGGAAAAAATAATGCCAATTCTATAAAATTCCTGCAGAAAAATTGAGAGGAAGAAAGATTTTCTGACTCATTCTATAAAAATACTTTTACTCTAATACCACATCATGACAAACGATATCATAAAACAAGAAAACTTCAGACTAATATCTCTCATGAATATAGATTCAAAAAATACCAATCAAAAAAGTTGGCAAATTGAATACAACAACATATAAAAAGCCTATAGTGCTTCATAAGGCCAAGGCAGGAGGATCACTTGAGGCCAGGATTTCAAGACCAGCCTGGGCAACATAGCAAGACCCCATCTCTACAAAACTTTAAAAAATAATAAAATTAGCTGGGTTCAATGGCACATACCTGTGGTCCCAGATAATAAGGACAGTGAGGCAAGAAGATTAAGTCCAGGAGTTTAAGGTTATAGTGAGCTCTGATCACACCTCTGCACTCCCATCTGGATGACAGAGTAGAGCCTTTCAAAAAAAAAAGAAAAAAAGAAAGAAAAAAAAAGCCACCAGGTGTGGTGGCTCACTCCTGGAATCCCAATACTTTGGGAAGCCAAAGCAGAATGATTGCTTGAAGCCAGGAGTTCAAGACCAGCCTGGCCAACATAGTGAGACCCCACCTCTACAAATAAGATTTTTGAAAAATTAGCTGTGCATGATGATGTATGCCTGTAGTCCCAGCTACTCAGCAGGCTTAGATGGGAGAATTGCTTGAACCCAGGAAGTTGAGGCTTCAGTGAGCTATGACCATGCCACTGAACTCGAGTCTGGGTGACAGAGAAAGACCTCATCTCTAGAAAATATATATATATTTAAAATGTTTATAGAATTATATAATATAACCAGTGGGATTTACGCCAGGAATGCAATGTTGGTTGAACATTTTAAAAATCGATCAGTGTAAGTCAACCTATCAACTGAAAACAAAACCAATCATTTTGATAGATACAGAAAAAGCATTTGACAAAATTTAAGATGCTTTCATAATAAA